CTTAAGCGACACAAGTCTTTACTTAATAAAACTGGTTTATTCTTTCCGAATATAACTTTACCGATACACTCAACTTCAACAATCGCGCTATATCAACGAACGCCAATAATACTTCTGACCGCAGATCAATTACACACTATCTACCCAGACATTACATTCCCCTCTTTTATATACCAGCCTACCCTATATCTAGTAAGAACTAGAACATTCGCCAAAGTACATGATAGTTCTAGAAACGTTGCGTCACAGTAGTCATGTGACTCGATGACGCAACACCGGGTTTCTTCCTTTAACGGTAACTTTTATCATGTTTGCTAACTAAGTTTAACAGTTTTTTTTTAAATATAATCTGTAACTTTAAGTTTTGCTATCGTTAACTTGTACTTAATGTTTGCCTAACGTTACCTTAATTTTGTGATTTTAGCCATTTTGGATTTACATAATTTACCTAATTGGGATGGTTTTATTTTAAATTTTGAATTTTTTTTGGTGTATTTTACGAGAGAGGGATGACACTAGACTGGTAAGAGAAATATATTAACCGTTTCTCCACTCTTCTCTTACAAGTTCAACATAAACACTTCCCCTTGTTTTGTGTACTGGATTCGTAAATCTGATTGTTTTACTGAATAAAGATTGTTGTTGTGAACCTTCCGTGTTTCTTCACGACGAACTCAGCGGAAAAACATAAACACACTCCGTAACATAATACTCTTCGTACCTCCAGTTAGCGGGCTCTAATTGACTACTCTACAGGTAATTCATACTCCAGAAAAATACCACAAGAGTTAAAATCATGAAAAATACAACACTCTAAACGCAATAAATAACATTTTAACAAAATTATTTTGTAAAGTAGAGATCGTAATACGTCACATAGAAGGTACTGTTCGTGTCTACTTACTGTAGTAAAACAATGCTAGAATCAATGATATCACGCGAACAAGTACTAAGTTAGATTTGCTTCACACCCAACTGTTAGAAACGTTTAGCAAGGGCGAATACTGAACACGTATACGTCATAAAAAATATAAATAAATGATGACAATAAAAACCAACGTTATATTAAAAAGTAATGCGTCAGTTTGGTAGTTCTATTTTTTCAGAAAATATTGTATTTGGTGTCAGTTAGATACCACAAATAGTTTTGAGGACATATTAATATATTTTTTTTAGAATTTTTGCTTAAAGCTACACAGGAACATAGCCATCTCTAATTTTAATCGTTATACTTGAGACAAGGCAGCTAGTCATCAACACCAATTGAGAGTGTCCGTTTTAATGTTCTAAGACATGATGATCTAAATGCTGCTCATCAAACGTTCTAATGGCTACATTATTGTTCTCCCTACGTTTTTATGAAGCATTATTGTTCTTCCTAATTTTTTATGAAGCATTATTGTTCTTCCTAATTTTTTATGAAGCATTGTTGTTCAATAAACGTTGTAATGGCTGCATTGTTGCTCTCCATACGTTCTTATGATAGCAGTGTTCTTCATCAAATGCTCTACTGACTACATTATTGTTCACGATACGTTTTAGTTATTATATTATTGTTTTCCATACTTTCTGATGACCACATTTTTTGTTGCTCTCCATACGTTCTTATGATAGCAGTGTTCTTCATCAAATGCTCTAATGACTACATTATTGTTCACGAAACGTTTTAGTTATTACATTATTGTTTTCCATACTTTCTTATGACCACATTGTTGTTCTCCATATTTTCTGATGACCACGTTGTTGTTCTCCATACTTTCTGATGACCACATTATTGTTCTCCATACTTTGTGATGACCACATTGTTGTTCTCCATATTTTCTGATCACTACATTGCTGTTCTCCATATTTTCTAATGACCACATTATTGTTCTCCATATTTTCTGATGACCACGTTGTTGTTCTCCATACTTTCTGATGACCACATTATTGTTCTCCATACTTTGTGATGACCACATTGTTGTTCTCCATATTTTCTGATCACTACATTGCTGTTCTCCATATTTTCTAATGACCACATTATTGTTCTC